AAAGGATTTTAGTCGATTTTTAATAATTTTTTTTTGGTTAAATAAATAAATTGCAAATGTTTTATTTAAACTTTGTACGTTCAAATTTCGTAGGTCATGAAAAAAAAAATGTTTCGTTAAAAGGTTAAAAAAAGGTCGTTCGTCGGTCATAAAATATGAAAAATTCGAAAAAAAAAAAAAATTATTATTATCATTATTATTATTATTTATTAATTTTTTTTTTTTTTTCGTTTGGCTTGTATGGGAGATAAAATAATGTCAAATGTTATCACGTTCGTTTGCAAAATGTCCGCGAATATTTTATTGTGTAAGTTAATAACAAAATTTATTTTGCAATAATGACAAAAAAAAACCTCTCTCTCTCTCTCTCTCTTTCTATTCCCCTCTCTCTCTCTCTCTCTCTCCTTCTATTCCCCTCTCTGTCTCTCTCTTTCTCTCTCTTAAATAGCAATATTATATTTCTTATTATTATCATCATCATCATCTTACATCATTTTGATAATGAGTCACGTTAATTGTCATTTTCAAAATTATTTTTCAGAGTTTTAATTATTATTATTATTATTATTATTATTATTATTAATTCGTTTTCCACACAAAAAAAATATAATAATGATAATAGTTTATGTATGATAAAAAAATACGTTAAAAAAGGAAAACTTTAACACAACCCGAGAAAATTTAATCAGTAACCTGATTGGGGGCAAAGTATAAAATGATTAAACCGGTTGTTTACGTCTTGATCATAATAATAATAATAATAATGATAATAATGTTAAATACCCGCAATAATAATAATTATTATTATTATTATTTTAAATAATAATATTCAATAATAAATTTGACCTAAACTTTAGGCTTTTTAATACGTTACGTAAAATAAAAAATCATAAATTAATAATAATAATAATATGTAATTGTAAAATTACTCAACCGTATTTATCCGTGTAAATCGTCCGTTTGTTTGTTGTTTGTTCGTTTGTTTGTTTGTTGATTTGAAATTGACATGGTATCATTCTCACGTAATCTAATATTAATCCGTTATAAATCCATCGATTGTGTTTATTCCAGTAAATAAAATTGATTACATAAGTAATTAATACAATTAAAAAATGTCAACGGTCGATTTTTCGATTTTATTTATATAATACAAATAATTATCGCGTTTATCATATTTTTCGAATTAATTAAATAAAAAAACGTTTTGTGGATTTCATATTTAACAAACGATAACGATTAAAAAACGAACGAAATCCCCGGAATAAATTGAATAAAAATTAAAATGAATTTTTCACTTTTAATGTTGTAATTAGTAACGCGTTACCCCTTACACATTTCAAGAAAAAAATTCGCAACAATTAAAAGTGATGCCAACTTAAATTTGATTGTTTTGTACGATTCATATCGAAAAAAAAATTCCGTGATGCCAACTTAAGTTTTTTAATAAGGTTTTTTTTCCTCATCATTAATTCAATTGATTTTTAACGTTTTTTCCTTACCCTTTCGAATTCTTATTACGTTTAAAAAAAAAAATGGCGGGGGGAAAAATTTTAAATAAATTTATTTATTATCATTTCATTTTTATTTCCCTTTCTTATAATTTAAATTAAATTACTTCATTTTTTTTATTTTTTTTTTTTTTAAATTGATTTAAACGTGATTACAAAATCTAAAACCGTAACGGGTAAAAAAAAAACGCAAAAATTATCAGTATTATTATTATTATTAATTTATTCGTACTTTGTAATATGAATAATGACAAAAGGAAAAAGGAAAAAAAAAATGGGGAAAAAGAAAATGAAAATATTATCTATGTTTAATTTATTGCACTTTATTGATTTCATTCGATTTATTTTATTAATGTGTTATTGACTTTATGTAATCAAAAAAAAAAAAAAAAAAATTTAATCAAAAATCATTGCTAAGGTCAATGACGTCACAATAGCAATCTTTATAATAATAATAAAAATTTAATTAAATTATATTTTGCGTTTTCTTTTTCTTTTTAATAAATAAATAAATAAATAATTATGTATGAGATTAATTTTAAAAAATATCATTTTATTTTTCATAAAAAAAAAAAAAAATTCATTGATTAACAGAAGTAGCAGAAGTAAAATATTAGTATATCTACATGATAACTTTTAATATTTAGCATTTACATAGAAAAAACGTATAATTTCACACGATGATAATAATAATTATAACACTATATCGTTAATTTAAAAAAAAAATTTTCATAATACGTTAATGTCATTTTATTAAAGGACGCCATTTTGTTTTTTCTTTTTTAATTATAATAATATGAAAATTTATTTAACTATGAACTTTGTAACGATACAAATTTCATTCTCGAATTTATTTTACGTCGTTTTATTAAATTTATTAATTATATTTATTTAAAAAAATTTAATTATTGTCTGATAAGCTAAAATTAATGATAGATCGATTATGTAATTATTATTATTATTATTATTATTATTATTATTATGTTTACAGCAACATAAAAAACATTCAGTAAAGATTTGAAAATTGTTTTGTTAAAACGGTTCATTTTTTTTTTAAAGAATAATTATTATCGGATTTGTGCTTTAACTTATTTTTTTTTTTTTTATTCAACACTTTGTGGTACGCCATTTTGTTATTATCATTATTTTCAATTATCCGATAATTAATAATTTAAATTGATAAAAAAAAAAAAAAAAAAGGAAAAGTGACGTCGGGGATTTGACGTTAACGGTTTTATTTTTTTTTAAATTAAATAAATAATTTTTTTTTTTTTTTGGATTAACGAGATTATTATTATTAAACAAAAAGATTAAAAAAAAGTTCGTTAAATTTTTAATTTCGTTTTAATTTTTCGCGAGGAGAGAGAAAAGAGGTGAAGGCGGAGGGTAGAGGAGAAGGCGTTTGAAATTTTTTTGAATTTCCCGCCTTTTTTTTTTTTTTTCAACTCTATGAATATTCTACGATGCAAAAGAAAATCATTAACGTGTGATGATGAAATACTAAAAGCAAAATTGAAACATTTTTTTGTTTTTCATACCGCAACTAATTTGAATTTGACGTACCTAAATGATGCAATATTTACACGAATTATTAAATTCATTTAAAAAAATCATTCGAGTGTAAAAAAAAATATTTTTTAAGAATTGTGTTCATCTTTTTTTTTTTTTTTATTTTTAAATCAAAAATTCGCCATGCAACCTTTTGAATCCATTTTCGAAAAAAAAAAAAAAAAAAAAAAAAAAAGTAAAAGAATTTTATTTTGCAGTTATTATTATTATTATTATTCTCTTCCGTCTCTGCAATTTGAAACAACTTCCAAGTATTTAGGAGATAATTTTTTTTTTTATAACAATTATCGGGTTAATCCCATGTTTAGCTTATTGTAAAGTAATTATTTTTAGTTTGGCGCAAAAGGATTGGCCAAGGTTCGGAATAAAGCATCGAAAGAAAGATCACGCCACACTCGCCGGCCGAGTCACGTGATCGACTCAAAAATAAATTCTTCGTTAACGAACATATCGTTCACAACCTGAGGGGCCATAGAGTGAACGGTTTTTTTTTTTTTCTATTTATTATCATTATTATTGCAATTTTTTTTTTTTTTTTTTTTACATTGCTGCGGTTCATGCTTATTCTTAACTGTTATTTATTTACTTTTGATAGATATATATCCGTAAATGTTTTTTTTTTTTTAAATAAATAAAATTGTACTAATTTTTTTGATTGTAACCGTTAAACGTTCGCGAACAGATTTCAAATTCGTAAGTATTTTATTTAGTTAAAAAAAATGTCGCCGTCGGCGTCGGGGTCGGGGTTGGGATCGGCGTCCATCGTGAATTTTTTTTTTTTTTTTAATTTTAATTTGAAAGTGTTAAAAATGACAAGTTAAATATTGCATGACGCGAACGTTTCACGCCGTTTTAATTTATTATTTCGTTAAGGTCAATTATTTTCGCCTTAATTTAATCACGTTCGAGTTTTTTTTTTTGTAATTAATTAATTAATTAATATACACAAATTGTTTGACATTTTTTCTCTATTCATTTATCATTTTGTACGTAGCAGTAGATTTAAAAAAAGTCTTAGAGTAAGAAAATTTTTACTCGTGTTCAATTTTTTTTAACTTAATTTGTGTTGTATGTAAATCTAAACTTTTTTTTTTTTCTTTTTTTATCATTTATATCATTTAATTGTTTTTTACAATTTGTGAAATATGGAGTACATGTCACGTAGGAGAATGTGCATATAGGTTTTAAATAAGAGTGAGAAGGAAAAAAAAAAAAAAGTAAAAAGAAAGTTGTTGTTGTTGTTAGAATAGAATTTTTTTTTTTCCTTCCTCCTCGTCGTGGAATTTGTAACTCGATAGCTTTTCCTTTTTTTATTTAATGGTTAAAAAGTATTTTAAACTTGTAAAGTTTTTGCAAACAAATCGAATTTGAAGTTAAATATACATAACGAATATTGTTATGTTGTTATTTATGATAATAATAATGACTTCCACGCTTTCACGTTCGCAGTTCATTTTTTTTTTACCTTTTTTTTTTTTTGTACCCGAAAATTTATGTTTAATTATAATTGACCTTGAATATGGCTGTCTGTACCTCACGTAGATATATCAAACACGTTTTTTCTCTAATTTATCGAATACAAACAACAACAACAACAACAACAACAATGTTCGCGACCGTCAATTGTTCAAAGGTCGTTTAATTTATTTTTTATTTTTTTTTTCAGTTGTGAACGGTATGGCACCCAATTTGGTATCCGTTGTACCTACGGGTACAATATTCGAAAATGAATTACCGACTGGGAAAAAGGAAAAAGTAGAAGAAGAGATTGTCAATGGAAAATCATCACACAAAGCCATAGTTTGGCGTAATGCTATTTTATTTGCTTATCTTCACGTTGCAGCCGTCTACGGATTGTATTTGGCCATAACTTCTGCTAAACTCTACACCAACTTATGGGGTAATGTATATTTTTTTTATTTATACTCTAATGTTGTATATTTGTTCAAAGTGATCACATTGATTTTTTTTTTATTTCAGCATATGCTTTATACGTTTCCGGAGGGTTGGGAATAACCGCTGGTGCACACAGACTATGGTCTCACAAATCTTACAAAGCTAAATTACCCCTTAAAATATTCCTGACGATTTGCAACACGATAGCATTTCAAAATTCGATTTGGGAATGGGCGAGAGATCACAGAGTACATCATAAGTTCAGCGAAACGGATGCTGATCCACACAATGCTAAAAATGGATTCTTTTTTTCACACGTCGGATGGCTTCTTGTTAAAAAACATCCGGATGTGAGGAGGAAGGGAAAAGTGATCGACATGTCCGATTTGGATCAAGATCCCGTCGTGGCATTTCAAAAAAAGTAACTAAATCCCCCCCCTCCGACCCTCTCTCTGTCTTTTCTTTTTTAACTCATTCAAATGTAAATTTTCCTTTCAGATATTACTTGATACTCATGCCGATCGGTTGTTTTTTGATACCTACATTTGTTCCGGTTTATTTCTGGGGAGAAACATGGTCGAACGCTTGGTTCGTAGCAACTTTGTTCCGTTATTGTTTCACATTGAACGCCACTTGGTTGGTGAATAGTGCAGCTCATTTTTTCGGTTCTAAACCATACGATAAGTGAGAAATTTTTTAAATTTCATTTTATTCTTTGAAAGAGAATTTAAGGTATTTGATGATGGTGGATTACTTGACAGGAACATGAACCCGGCTGAAAATCTCATGGTTGCCGTGGGAGCTCTCGGAGAAGGTTGGCACAATTACCATCACGTTTTCCCCTGGGATTACAAAGCGGCCGAATTGGGAAACTACGGTTACAATTTCACGACTTGTTTTATCGACATCATGGCCAAATTGGGTCAGGCTTACGATTTGAAAACTGTTTCCCCTCACATCGTGATAGCGAGAGCCAAAAGAACCGGCGATGGGTCTTACGTTCCACCGGAAAACGTTAAAATAATCAAAGAAGACGGTCATTCGATTGACGGTGACGTTTGGGGATGGGGAGATAAAGACATGAAACCGGAAGATATAAAAGCGGCCACCATTATCAATGAAGACAAGTCGGAAGAACGTTGTAAAACGAATTAATGTTAATTACCTTAGTTAAATTTATTAAAAAAAAGGCAACAAAACCAAAGTTTGTCTTAGATTAGAATGAGAGAGAGAGAGAGAGAGCTTTTCTGTGATAGAAAATTATATTTTCGGCCATATTTGACATAATTAAAAGTTTAAATTGTTTTTTTTTTTTTTTTACCTAGCTCGACGTTCTTTAATTCTTGTTACATTTGGTGTTGCACAGTTTCTTTTTTTTTTTTTTGTAAAATGTAAAACGAAATTAAAAGGAAAAAGTATATATACGTGAAAAAACGTATAAATTACATATAATAAATGCATTTTCTTGATTACTTAATTAGTTTTTATTTAAATGATAATGATAATAATAAAAGTACCGATAAAAATTTTACGTTTTTTAATTCATAGCAAACTTGGCGTAATAATTATGAAATATAAATTTCAAAATCTTTTCTTTTTTTTTTTAATTTCACGGATTTAAAAAAAAAAATAAAAGAATTTCTAATTCATACGTAAACTTTATTAAATTTACACATGCAGTAAAGTTAAGATAAAAATAAACAAACAAAAGAATTTTGAAAAAAAAAAAAAATTACAATTAATCTCTAGCAAAAAAAAATTAAAACTTAATTCTGACATGTTTAATTTTTTTTTTTTTTTAAATTTTTTCAACGAAAGGTTGTGAAATTAAAAGATTAAATCGTCCATAATCAAATTATTTAAAGTTTTTTTTTTTATATAAATATTTATTTTTGATTTAAAACTTTATTTTAATGAAATTACTATTAAAAAATATATATATATATAGATAATATAAATAAAATTTTTGGATAAATGGACGTTATGTTTATTTACTTTATGGAAAAAATTTGGCAACGTTGGAAAAACTTAAAAAGGGAAAAAAATTTCAAATGTTAACGGTTACAGTGTTTAACGCGTCCTCATGACAGAATCTTATACTAAATGAATTTGAGAAAATTTTTTTTTGTTTGTTGTTTGTTATTTTCGCGAAGATTGTATTATATCTAAAGTGATATCTTCGTATTTACTCAATTCGTATTCATCTAAAACTTCCAACAAACAATCGTTTATGGATTTATTCGTATCGATGGATCTTTCCAATGCTTCGGTCATCATTTTACTATTAACGGTTTTCAATCCGGTTGCAAGTCCTAAAGCCGCGCATACTTTTATGAAAACAGTGGTTGTGCCGTAATTATGAGATCCGAATTCACCGACAAGACAATCCCAAGGTGCTGTATAATGATATGCGTGCCAGTGATTTTTGGTAATTAAAAACATTAAATTCGAATCGCTGAAATACCTGAAAAACAAAATGGACGCCATAAACGATTTTGTAAATGATCATTGTATTTCATTTTAGATATAAATATACAACCTGTCGTTCGGTTTCAATTCCCAAACGTTTCTCGCACTATTTATAAACCAAATGGCGTGTAAAGTAATTGGAATTCTAAACAAACCCATAATCATAAATGAATTCAACATGTCTTCACCCCAATATTCGACAGGAGCATTTATTGGAAGTAAAACACCCAAAATGGCCAATAATACCCAGTAAAATTTTTTTTGAAACATAACAATTTTATCATTTTCAATATCTTTCATGTCAATTTCTTTAACAATCGTTTCCCTTTTAGGATTTTTCTGTCTTATTTTGTGACCTATGTGTGAATACAGGAAACCTTTTGTTTTGTTATAAGGATCATATTCTGTCGATTCGAATTTATGATGGATTCTGTGATCTAAAACCCAATCGTAAATGGGTCCACTTCCACCGATAGTGTGACAAATCATTAAAAAAAATCTTAAATATTTATTTGCATTGTAACTCCTGTGAGTCCATAATCTGTGTGCACCTGCAGTGGCTCCTAAAAGTCCAACACCAACAAGAAATAATGCTGAAAATAGAGTAGAAGAAGAAAATGATGACTCAGGGATAAATGATTATGGTGAGTACATTTTTATCTAATATAAATAGAAATTAAGCAACTTTACCAAAACCCAAAGTTAACAATTTAGCACTGAACAAAAAAAAAAGACTGTAAGCTAAAAAAAGATGAATGTGTAATTGAAGTAAAACTTTTGGCCAATTGTAATCCGACCATTTGGTTGTTGTTGTTGTTGTTGTTACACCCGTTTCCGTTTTAGGAATATCTTTGCTTACGTCAGACATTTTTTTTCCTTTTTTCTTTTAAATATATTATTTTCCAAATTTGAAATTTTTTCTTTTCTATATATATATATTCTTTCTTGAAAATGGATAGATGAAGGGGGGATAACCTTTAATAAAAAAAACAATCATGTTCATTAATGCCCTGTTTTTTTTTTTTTTTTTTTTTTACAAAAGGGAGCAAAGTCTAAAAAAAAAAAAAAAGTACACGAATTTATAATATTTGAATTAATTAGTATTATCGGTGTCAATGAAATTCACGCAAAACTTTAACCGGTAGCAAAAAAAATTTTCTTTTTTTAAATGCGACATTTTTTTTTTTTTTTTTGGTTAACGTTTACCGCTTAGCACATTTTTTATTATTATTTAAAATATAATATTATTATTATTATTATTATTATTATTATTAATGCAACGATATACGACTAAATATTTAGCAAATTGCAAAATGAATTTGAGACAAACGAAAAAAAAAAAAAAAAAGAAAAAAAAATTTTTTTTTTACAACACTTTAATTTTTTTTATTAATTTTATAATAGAAAAATCAAAATGGCGGAACGATCGAGAGTTTTTTTACCGTAACGGTTTTTTTAAAAAAAAAGATATAATTACAGTATTATAATTATAAATTAAATATAATAATTATATAATGAACTCACCAAAAATTTATTTTCTATAAAAAATAATAAAACAATATGGCGAACGTATACGTATGTTTCCTTATAGTCGGATTTGATGATTTTGTTTTTTTTTTTTTTTTTTAAATTATTTTTGTTCTAATGAAAAAAGCTCATGTTGATCAATCGAATTAAATTGCACTGAACAATTTTTAAAAAATGTAATGTAAAATCGAGGACAAATTACGTAGCCATTAATATCATGAATAATTCAATAATTCAATTAAACAAAAAAAAATGTCTTGACCAAATGTAAAAAAAAATTAATAATAATAATAATTTTGTCATTATTTCTACTTTTAACCAACTTCAAGTCAGACAAACGTTTTAAACAATTTTTTTTAATTAAAAAAAAAAGAAAAGAAAGTCATAGAGTAAAAAAATATATATATATAAATTTTTTTTTTTTCATAAAAGAAGGCTGTGAGTAATTCTTTCCATTTATCCCTCGTGATATCGAATAATAATATTAATCTTCACGCCTTCAATTTATTAATTAACAATTAAATAATAATAATAATAATAATAATAATAATAATAATAATAATAATAATAATAATAATAGATGCGTGAATTCGATAGTTTTATTTAAAATGGGGCACACTACTTCCGCACTTGAGACATAAATTTCATATTTGAATTTTTTTTTTTTTTCGTTCGGCGGTCAGGTCGATAAAAATTTAAAATAATAATAATAATAATTAATCACTAACAAACAAAATCTATTTTATAATAATTAATTTAATACAATAATAATAATAATTATAGTAATTATAGTAATAGTAATAGTAATAATCTATAAGTACATGTTATTTAATTTTATTATTTTTTACATTTTAAAGCCGAAAAAATGCGTTAAATTTACGTTATAGTAACAAATGACAGTACAACAGATAGTATGACAAAAAACTTATTATTTAGGGATGAGAATGTGGGGGAAACGACGCGTTTCCTTTTACCCCCCTTCCCCTCCCCGCCCCCCTTCAAACACGACGGACAAAAAATGAGACGTTAAACATTGCACATTAATATAATAAACAAACGGAAAAAATGAAAGAAAGAAAGAAAAAGAAAAGAAAAAACGCGCGCAAACTTTTTTTTAAAAAAATTTTAAACAATAATAATAATAATAGTAATAGTAATTAATTCGAATTGATTACCTGTGTTAAAACATTCTCTATGGATTATTAGATTGTGTAAAAAACTTTCGGACGGGTATATAAGGCATTTACTCGCGTATTCGGAAACTTCGCGCGAAATATTTATTCATCGGTATCTCACCCTTAGACACACGCACACACGCATACCCAATTAAAAATTTTCGATTTTTAAATATTTCGCGCCTTTCACACACACCCCCCCCTCCTTTAATCCCCTCACTTGAAATTATTTTGGGTGAAAGCTTAAAAGCTCCTTTTTTTGAAAAATTTATATATACTGTAGGGTTTTTGTGGGGAACGAACGCTTTTCCAAAATATTAAACTGTTTTGAGGGACGAAAAAGCAATGAGAGAGAGAGAGAGAGAAAGTGGGGGGGGGAAAACGTTGATTGATTTCCAGTGGGTTGTGATTGATTCCACGCTGGAAAATACCCGCGGCGTTCGAAATATTTTTTTTTTTTGTGACGAATAATAAATAAGTTTTATTATTTTTTTTCTTTTTTTTTGTTTTTGACTGTTGGCACTTCTCTTTTTATTATATTCAATGCTGACTCGATAGTTCTGCGTAATCCTCTTTTGGCATGTCCTTATCTCCCCAACCCCACACGGGTGTCTTGCTACCGTCTCCGGTTCTTTTCTTTCTCCTCGACACCATTTCGGTCGATACGAATTTACGATCCCAAGCCCATCCAATTTTAGCAAAAAAATCAATGAAACCCGTTGTGGGATTGAACGTGTAATTTCCGAGTTCTCCCGCTTTGTAATCGTATGGGAAAACGTGATGATAGTTGTGCCATCCTTCGCCGAGTGCCGCTATCGATACGGATACGTTATCTGCCGAGTTTATGTACCTGAAAACGACATATAATGATTTAGAATACGTGCCTACAAAGTTTCGTTAAAACTCTTGGAGACTTACTTGTCGTAAGGCCTTTGTCCCCATATGTGAGCGACGCTGTTAACGAAAAAAGCTATGTTCAACGTGATGGCATATCTCACGTTGAAATTAATCCAAAACGACGTCCACAAGGGTTCGTTCCAAAGGTAAATGGGTACGATGACGGGTAGGGCGACAGCGAGGGCTAAAAACAACGGAATGTAGTATTTCTTGTGCCACATTATGAGGGGATCCGATTCCAAATCTCTCATGTCGGCCTGTATTCGTTTCTCGACGACGTCGGGATGCGGAGTGAGAAATATCCATCCGACGTGCGAAAACATGAAACCTCTTTTCGCGTTATGCGGATCCGCATCCGTTTCCGTATATTTATGATGAACTCGGTGATCCAAAACCCACGCGTAAACATCTCTCTGACCGGATATTGTGAAAAGTATGAGGAGCAATAACTGGAGCGGGTAATTCGCTTTGTACGCTCTATGAGACCACAGTCGATGGACTCCGGCCGTTATTCCAAAACCGGATGCGTAAATGCTGAAAAACACTAAAAAATTTTTTTCCCTTATTATTATTATTATTATTATTATTATTATTATTATTATTATTATTATTACGAAATTTCGATTGAACAATGACTTGAATACAAAATAAAAATTTTAACCTTTGAACTTATTTACATCTTTCAAAAAAAAAAAAATTTTTTTGATTTGTACAACTTACGCCATATGTAATTTTTAAAACTCCTCGACAAAACTAATAAGTAAAGGCCGTAAATGCAACCCAAATGAACGAACAATAATCCTGATAAATCCAACCATTTAACTTGGGGTTCGAATTTAATTTTTTCACAGTCCATCCCGACGTTTTTTTCCTCTATGACATTAACACTCGGCCGCCGATTATCACTCTTCATCTCATTATCGCCATTATTATCACTATTATCAACTTTTCTCCGTCGCGAATTCCCATCTTCTCCCCCTACTACTCCTCCGTTTTCATTTTTTTTTTTCGATTCCTCGTTCCAGGTTATCGTCGTTTCGACCGGTCCGCTTTCGTCAGGTGTCATTGTTTTCGACAATGTTATCTATTATCACCTGTAAAACAAACAAACAAACAAAAACAAACGTAAATACATTAATTTTTCATTTCTCTTTCTTCTCCGTTCGGAACACTCAAAACTTAAATTTAAAACAAAATAAAGAACTAACTAACTACGAACAAACTATGATATGACTGTTGTACGTGAAAACAAACGTTAACAAACAAACAAACAAACGAACGAACGAAAGAACAAACGAACAAACATTGACGAATGTGTAAAACAAAGAAAAAAAATTTTTTTCTCATGAGGTTTCACATCCGCATCGTTAAACTTTTAATTATTAATTTATTTATTAACCCAAAATATTATTAAGAAATAGAATTATTATTTTTATTTTTTTTTTCCTCGTCCGCCATTAAGCGTAAGCATAATTTTTTATTACCACAGTGACGACGACGATGATGATGATGATAATTATTTTCAAAGAGTCATCAAAATATTCGTTGCATCAATCAATCAATACCACTTAATTAGGCAAAATAATTTCGATTCGAATAAATGATGATGATGATGATGATGATACAATATTTTTTTTTCTTTTAAGTAGGGGGAGGGGATATAAACTTCTCAAGCGTTTAATTAATAAAATAAAACAAACAAACAAACGAACAAACGAAAAAAAAAAAAAATTCAAAAGATGGAGAGAGGTATGTGAAATTAAAAAAATAGGCGAGGCATAATACAAACACCTGAGGTCATACCTGAGATTCGTTCAAAAAACCTTTAAAAAAATGCAAAAATGATAATAATAATAATAATAATAATAACGTACTCAGTCGTTAGGAAAAAAATGTTGCCAACATTCACGTGAATTTTTTTTTTTAAAATAAGACGAAAACGACAAACGACAAAACGACGACAGTTCACAAAAAAACAAGACTTAATCGTAATAATAATAATAATAATGATAATAATAATAATAATAACAATGCGTTTGCACGCACGCACGCACACGCACACGCACCTGAGTTTATTCTCGCACTAATAAGATTTTTTCGACAATTCACATCAACGTCGTGATTTATTATTTTTATAAAAACTGCATTTGAGCCTTGAATTAGTTAACGAACGAACGCATTCAAACTCACGCACGCACTCACGCACTCACGCGTCCGCATATATATTAAAAAAAAATCTTTCGTTAATTTTCGTCAAGGGAATAAAACAAAAAAAAAAAAAAAAAAAAAAACGTAACCCGAACCAATCGAATTCATTTATTTCATTACATTTTAAACATTAAAGCCTAATTAAAAAAAATACAACAACAACAACAATAACAACCACAACGACAACAACAACAACAAACAAAAGAAACCTTAAGCCACAACAACAGCCTTTCTTATTTAAATGACAAAAAAAAAAAATTATTATTTTTCCTTTCAGCAAGAATGTGTGTTAACTTTCGTTTGTCGTCTCTCTCTCTCTCTCTCTCTCTCTCTCTCTTATATCATTATTGTCTTATTCATTATTATTATTATTAAGAAAAAGAAGAGAGAGAGAGAGAGAGAGAGGGGGAGGGGGAATTAAATAACAAAGGTCGTTATTGAATAAATATTATTTTACACTTTTTTTTTTGTAGAAAGTAATAAATTTGAAGACCTTGAACCTGAAATTTATTTAATAAAATTTTTTTTTTTTTTTATAAAGGTTGATAGTTAAATAACAGGTTGTTGTTGTTTGTTGTTGTTGTCACGTTACAAAATAATTTAATTATTTTTTTTTTTTTATTTTTACACCGAGACATGATCAAACATTACAATGTACAAAGTTCACGCGAATTAAAAATTTAAAAAAAGGCGCGCAAATTCTTTCGTTTCCGTTTTGGCGGGAGGGGGGGGGGAAACAGGAAGTATACGTGGGAGGAAGGAACCCAACAAACTCACAAATCAAATTTAATTTTTAATAGCTTTGTGTTGTGGTTGTCGTCTTTGCGACTTGTTAAAAAAAATTACATAACGCATACGCACGACCGTAAATACATAAGTACGCACGCACACGCACGCACTCACAAACATTACATAATATTTTATTTGTCAATTTTTTTTTTTTTATTATTTTTACGCACGTAAGAGAAACAACAACAACAACAACGCCTCTTTAACGATTTCTTAAAAAAAAAAAAAAAAAAAACCCACGCAGGCAATTCGAACATTCGTTACCACGCACATAAGATAAGAAGGTATTTTACGCATTCGTACCTGTTTTTTTTTTTTTTTTTTTAACTAAAGAATAAAAGTTATGTAATTCTCCGTTAAGCAAAAAAAAAAAATCGTAAAAAATTGCAAATTAATAATAATAATAATAATTTCGATAATCGTCGGGTTTTGCTAGCTTATAAATATAATTTAAAAAAAAAGAAGATTCTTTTGCTACGGTTAAGAAAAAAAAAAACAGTAAACGGTAAACGGCCTTCAAAATGTACCTGAAAAAAAGTAAATAAGTAAAGCGTTGAGTGAGTAAAGTTAATAACGACTAATGGGTGACGTACATACATAAGACGACTTATGCGACCTGAAAATTAACCTGAAAATCGTAATAATAATGATAATAATCTCTCTCGAAGAACCCGCGTGCGCGACCGACCGTGTGTGTGTGTGACCATCTGAATTTTTTTTTTTTTTTTTTTTTTCATTTGGAACAAGACTGAAACTTGTTCATGAATGGAATGTTAAGTCACTGGAAAGAAATAATAATAATAATAATAATAGTGATGATGATGATAATGATAATATTTTCTATTCTTTTCTGTGTCTTCTTCTTCTTCTTCTTCTACTTTTGACAACAACAACAACCAAAAAAAATAATTTTTTTTTTTTTTACGAAATTAAATCAGGGCAAACGAACAGACGAACTTAGAAAAAAACTTATACGTATATAAATGCTTTTTTTTTTTTTTACGTGGCTTCCTACGGTACTGATTTTCAGGGTCGTGAAGAGTCATAAGAATTACGACAATTTGTAAATGGGGAGAGCGAAATGAAAATAAAAAAAAAAAAAAAAAAAATTCATTATTTAAATGTATTTGCGCGGTCGTGACGAAATTATTCCGTTGGTAATTTTTTTCTTCTGCTGCTCCTCCCGCCGTTTGTTGTTGTTGTTGTTGTTCCCCCTTCTCCCCCCGACAACAGACAATTAATTAATTAATGGAAATAATAAAAAAAAGTTTTTACGATTGATTGAAATATTACTTTCTTATTTTTTATAATAGTGACGTCATTTACTATTGTTCTTACTATTTATTGTTTTGTTTTGTTTTTTCGTCTTCTGCTGTTGGTGACGTCACTCACGATTCGTATATACTCGATCCTTTCTCCCGAAAAATCCTCAACACCACTTTTGCTTTTGACATTTTCATTCGTGACCGAATTAATTTCACAGCCTTCATGTAGAAAAACATTCTGACAATTTGAAAATCGATATTTATGTCTGCTGCCACGTATTCGTTTACTTATGAAAACATCGTGTTTGTCTATCAACCACTGGTGCCACATTTTTCCAACCTCTTCTGCTTCCAACACAGTTTTCTCTGTTCAACTTTGTTTCCATTCTCTCTCTCTCTCTCACTCTCTCTCTCTCTCCCTCTCTTTCTTAATTTCTAATTGAACTCGTCTTAATGATGTTTTTTTGAATTTAATTTCTTAATTGTCGGTTCTATTTCGTTATTATTATTATTATAGTTTATAATTAAACTTGTCTTGATTAAAAAGTGGCTCGCGAGTTCTCTCTCTCTCTCTCTCTCTCTCTCTCTCTCTCTCTCTCTTTTCGTGCCGTCATTAAATCAAAACTTTTAATTGCATAATTAGTTTTTGTTAAAAATTTTCGTCGTCATCAAATAAGAAATTTTTTTTGCAAAGAAACGAAAAAAATAATTTTCAGGGAACGTCGGTCGCGATTACCTTATGTACGCCATTTAAGTAAAAATTAAATTAAACGCAAATATGCGTGAAAAAAAAAAAAAAAAATTCGATCGTATGCCGTGGCACGAACGCACGCACACACACACACGCGCGCGCGCGCGAAAATAATTAAACATTTTTTTTATTTAAAAAAATTGTTTATAATTATGTGAATGTTTTAATTTCCTCCCCCTCCCCTCCCCACCGCGAGTTTTCGAAAACGACTTCGAAATATTATTTCCGCGAATTATTAAACGAGATTAAGAATTTTTTTTTTGTCGTGTCACGAGAAAAAAAAATTTTTTTAAAAAAAACGTGACAAACGATCGTTTGTTAGCTTGTTTGTTTGTTTGTTTGTTCGGTTTTTTGTTTCTTTTCGAAAATGGGAATCAGGTGTGAATTAATACGATTTTTTTTTTTGAAAAATAAAAGTAAAAAAAAAATTCTCGTTTCATTTTCGTTAATGGCGCAACGCGGCACGGGAATCCCACGACGAATTGAGACCACGGAATTCCTCGCGGTCGCGATTCATCTTTTTTTTTTTTTTTTTTTTTTAATACTTTTCGGGGCGTTAAAAATAAAATTTCTCGTTTTAAATAAATTTGTCTGACGGTTATAAAACAAATTATTTTTTCAAAACGCCGTAAAAAAAATTTTATAACGTTATAAAACGAAAATGTAAAAAAAATTCGCGGCGACATCGTTTTCACCGCATCACGTATATATACTCCGGCTTATACGAATGGCTTTCGGGGAGTCCGATGTGTCTGAGATTTAAGAGTTAACATTATCTCAGTTTACAACTGCAAACCCCGTTTATAATTTCTGTACTCAAGATACGGCTTTGACTCCCTTTTTGCTCCTTTTTACAATTTTTTTTTTTTTTTTTTTTTATAAGAACCTTTTTGCTACGAAAACGTTTTGATCCCCCCCGAACGCCCCCCGGAAAAAGAACGAGAAAAAAAAAATTAACGACTCGAATTCTTTTTTATCAGGTGTACACACAGTAACAATGCCCAAGTGATAAGAAAAACAAAAATTTTCGTTTTTGAAAATTAAATAAATTTG